CCCTGCTGGCCTTCCTGCTGGTCTGCAAACACACCACACTCTTTTCAGCCTCAGGGCCTTTGCAACCTGTACCCTGCACCCCACACCCTTCTGCTGGGCCTCTTACCAAACTCCTGACGGCCCGAGCTTTCTTTTCCTTCAGATGCCAGGTGAAATGTTAGCCGTGCCCCACCCCCACGCCTCCTATTACTTCACTCTCACGTGGTCTTACCTGCTTGTCTGCCTACCCCCTGGTAGGATGAAAGCAGGGATCTCATCCATCTTGTGCACCACAGTGACCCCAGTGCCTAGGACAGTGCCTGGCACACACTGGGAGCTTAACAAACATTTGTTAAAGGAATGGATGTGGCAGGAGATGGGACTGTTGCCATTTGACTGGCCAAGATCACCCAGCCATAGGTGGTAGGTCTGGATTGAAACCCAGGCATGTCTGACTCCAAGGCTCAGGTTGTTAACCACTGCACTACTGCCTGGTGTAATGGGTCTGCTTATCAGTGGCATGGATAATAGCCACCAACGCTTAAATCGTGCTGAACAGATGCCTGGCAGCATTCCAAGCACTCACATATCATGCCCAAGAGCTTTACCTTCAAACTCCCTGGGACTGGAACCCAGTCAGGGGCCAAGTGAGCAAACTGTCAGCAGCCCCAGCTCCAGGCAGTCGAGGGGAGGGACTGGCCGTGTTTTGCAGGAGGTCCACGCTGTGATGGTGTCCTGTGCTTGTGGAGCAGGCTGTGAACTCCTCCGCCTCCCTCTTTCCCCTTCCCAGAGCTAGGCCTCAGGGCTTGTCTGGGGCACCTGCCAATGCAGAGAATGAGCATCTTCCCACTGCACTGGGTCTCAGAGCCAGCAGAGGGGTGGTGGAAAGGGCACCCTCTCCATCAGCTTGAGCAGCCTGGGCTCTGGCCCCAAAGCAAGGAGCGGAGGAAGAAAGAGGAGCAAAGAGCAGCAGGTGGCAGGGAATGTAGGGGTAGGGAGCACTCAGCCCCAGGAGCCGGAGTCAGCAGCTCCCACAGGACTCAGAGCCCCTGCGCCCCCGCCCCCCCC